GCCGGTTGAGCTATAGGCGCCGAGCCGCAAGATTAATTAATTAAAGACATTTTCACATTCATTATTTTATGACATTCTCTCTTGAGTAGGAGGTCTTGATAAAGAATAATGAATGAAAATACTTTGTAACATAGGGAATCCAGGTTCACTAAACTGTTTAGATTTTGTTGTCTCTAACCAGGATAGCCAAAAAGCCTACTTGTTAAATGGCTTTTCTTTTTATAAATGAAGGCGGTGGACCACATATATAGATATAAAAGATTAAGAGACACACTCTCTGTCTTAAAGAAACACTACAGTATAGGTAAGGAGATGAAACATGGCAGGTAAAAAGATAACTAGAGAAACAAGGTTTCATAATATAGAAATCATTTCTCTTCCAAAGTAGATATACCATAGACTCTGATGATCAAGAAAGGCAGTACTAAAAGTTGCAGATGATTAACCTTAATAATAGAGTAAATGGAACCATGGTTAATTGTTTATTGTACCCTGTAGTGAATTAGTCTTGAGTATTCTGTATTTGGGCAGGTAGAAAAGAAAACAGATGTTAGAAATTACTGACCCAGTGTATAATAGTCTGGAGAGGCTTATAGAAACAGTGAGTATTGGGAGCATTTGGAAAAGAAACTGGTCAAGACTTACCTAAGAAAAAAGTTGTTATAGGGTAGTATTTGGGAAGATCTACATTTGCAGTTTTTCAGGGAGTGGCATATGACAGTAGAAACACCAAAATTTGATTATAAACTTATTTTAAGGAAACTAAAACATAGCAAACAAAATTTTCACATGATAACTTTGATAATGCATTCTGTACTCTGGGAAGTCACTTCTTACATGTCTAATTCTTATAGAAATGGGAAATAAACTCAATATGGTTGGCACAGATAAATAATAAGGATTTATTGTGCAATCACTTTGTGCCTAGCATTATGTTCTATCCAGCCAGAGATATATGGATTCTGTACACATTTTGGGGAGATGACTCAATTTCCTGAGATCTGTTTTCCCTTTTTTATCTGTAGCTATATCTCCAGTGCCTCAGTATAGAAAGAGAGAGGGAAGGAATTCAGTTGAATGAATTAAATTCAATAATGCACATAATGGATCTGGCATATATTAGATGCATAATAAATCATATTTGACTTTGTATCTAACCTCACTTCCTGGTGCAGTACCTAGCTTGTAGAAGGCACTTAATAAAAGTTACTTGAATTAATTCATTTTTCCTTCAGTCAGTGACTATTTATTAAACACCTGTAATATGCCAGACACTGGAAAGAGAACAGTAAACAAAACAAAGACATTCCTACTCTGGCGGAACTAACTTTTGTAGAAGGAGGCATATAGTAATTAAATAAATCTATACTGTGTTAGGTGGTGATAAGTACTATGAGGAAGATTATAGCACAGTAAAGAGGTAAGGATGGTAACAGAGAATGCTAAAGGTTAGTGATACAGGGTAGTTAGGGAATATCTTCTGAAAGTGACCCTTGAACAGAGACCTGAAGGAAGTAAGGGACAGAACCATACAGACTTCTGGTAAAAGAGTTTCTGGGCTGAGTAAAGGGAAAAGTAAATGCAGAAGACTTGAGGCAGGAAAGTGCTCGGCATGTTTAGGAGATTCCATTGAGGTCTGTGTGGGTGGGAAACAGTAGGAAGCAAGGAAAATAGTAGACATGAAGTCAGAGATGTAGGAGAAAACCAGGTTAGATGGAACCCTGTAAGGGAGTTGTAAGGACCTTGCCTTCTACTCAGGTGAGAGGAGAAGCCATGGGAACTAGAGGACTTTTGAGGAGTGACAGGATCTAATTTTCAAAAGACCATCCTAGCTGCTGTGTGAAGAGTGAGCCATAGAATGACTGGGATGGAAGCGGGGACCACTTGAGAGGCTGTAGTATTTGTCCAGATAAGAAATACAGGGTGCATTACACCCCAGATTGGTAAGTTGGACTTGGGAGTGCTGGAGGAGGTAATAAGAAGTGGCCGGATTGTGGGCATTAGAAAGGTAGAATTGACGTAATTTGATGATGGGTGGATGTGAGGGGTGAAAGAGAGGAGTCAAGAATATGTCTAAGGTTTTTACACTTAGCAGTTGGAAGAATAGACTTACCATTTAGTGAGATGGGAAACTGCAGAAAGAGCAGTTTTGATGGGAACATCAAGAGTCCTGTTGAGGACATGGTAAATTTGAGAGGTCTGTTAAAGTCCAGAAGTCAGATGCACAGAGTAGAATAGCTAGGGGAAAGAGGAAAGATGGGGAGTTACTATTCGGTGGTTATAAAATTTCAGTTTTATGTATGAAATGACTCAGTTCTAGAGATCTGCTCTACAACATTGTACCTGTATTTAACAATACTGTATTGTACACATAAAATTTTAAGAGGATATAAAATGCAGAATTGTGGTCCTACTAAGACTTCTATTGAATCAGAATCTGCATTTTAACAAGATCCATAGGAATCTGAAATGTGCATTGCAGTCTGAGAAGCACTAGCCCAAAGGTTAGCTAGATGAGTTCATGACACTTTAATTTGCCCTGTAACCAGTCTGCAGGTAAGGTGGCAACAGCATTTTTAGTATTGTATTATGTAGAATAGTCTCTAGATAGATTCATCAGAGATATAATCATAATTCTAAAAATGAAAGTGAGCGCATTTTAATAAAATTTCTGGCCTTATTTTAATGTACTACTTTCTGTAGCCCTTTGTAAATTCCTATAATACATTTATTTACAGTAACTAAAAAAAGTCTGGAGGTCAGAGAAGAAATCAACATGGAGATACAATTTAGGGAGTCATCAGGTTGCAGAGACTATATAAAGCCATAAAACTAGGTGAGATCACAAATAGAGTGAGTGAAAATAATGAAGAAAATTTGCCCAATCCTTGAATATCCCAACATTTATAAGATAAGAAGAGAAAAGAGAATTGACAAAAGAGGCTGAGATGAAGCCACCAGTGAGATAAGTGTCTGGGTAGATGTATGGGTGAGTGAGTGAGCAAACGAATGGGCAAACTAAGCAAGTTCCACAAGCCCTGTGAGGATCAGTGTGTGGAACAAAGATCAAGGGTGACTTTACTACCTCCTTTCAGGGTTACTGTAAAGATTATGAGTAATCTATGCATACCATCCATTATAGCAGACAACACATAGAAAGTGCTCAATAATTAATAGACACTTTTTATTACAAAATTAAATAACTAGAAGACAGATTTATTTTTTAGTAAATACCGGTTGAGTATCCCTAATCCAAAAACCAAAATGATCCAAAATCTGAAACTTTTTGGGCACTGACATGGCACTCAAAGGAAATGCACGTTTTACAGCATTTCAGATTTCAGATTCCAGATTCTCCTTTTAGGAATGCTCAACTGGTAAGTATATATAATGCAATTATTCCAAAATCCAAAAAAGAAAATATGAAGCACCTGGTCCCAGGTGTTTTGGATAAACGATACTCAACCTATATTGAAAAAGCTGGAGGACTTAAGAGAAGGTGAAAATCACTGTGAGTCAGTATTAAAGAATTCTGCATGGAAGGAAAGAAACCTGATCCAGAATATAAAGTAGAGGGGTGAAAGTTGACATTGCAGATACTGAGGTGAACAAAAACGCAGAGTGCACTTGAGTATAGCGTGGTGGTGCAGTGAAGAGATATTTCTGTTCAAATGAAACCTCACAATAGGCATGAAACTATTTGAGGTCTGTTTTTTGTTGTTGTTTTGTTTTCTTTTATTTGAAAGTTAACTTCTATTTTAAAAAAATTTCTTTCCTACTCTTACAAAACAGCCCAATAGACATTTCAAGACTGGCCAGTTCCATCTTATCATCTTCACTTATGCTAGTACCCTCAATTGACGATGGTTTTTGCATTTGTGCCATCAGGTTTTACCACCATTGAGGGATGTGACAAATCGACCTGAAGTTGGCTCAACTGTGAGAAATAAGCTGGTGCGCCTCATGACACATGTTGACCTTGGAGTCAAGCAAATTGCTGCTGAATTCCTTTTTGTTCTTTGCAAAGAGAGAGGTAGGTTAAACTCTCTTTGCCCTCTGCTTTCTATCTTTCAGAGGGAATTTGAGAAATTTAGTTAGTAATAGCCATCTCATTCTACTCTTTCCAAAACTTAGTATCTGTTCTACTGAGAGGAACTGAGAGTTGGGCGCCATGGCTCACATCTATAATCCTAGCTCTCTGGGAGGCTGAGGCAGGAGGATCATTTGAGCTCAGGAGTTCAAGGCAAGCTTGAGCAAGAATGAGACACCTGTCTCTACTAAAAATAGAAAAATTAGCTAGACATATGGTGGCTCATCCCTGTAGTCCCAGGAGACTGAGGCAGGAGGATCACTTGTGTCTAAGAGTTTGAGGTTGCTGAAAGCCATGGAACTCGTACCCAGGGCAAGAGAGTGAGACTATCTCAGAAAAAAAAAGGAGCTAAATGAAGAATTTAAAAGCATTTTAATGTTCTTCTGAATTCATTAAGATATATAACAATAGATGCATTGCCAAACACTCAACATTTAAACGTTTCCTTTTGTTTGCTTAACCTAAACTTCTTAATCTTGATGGAGCAGGACCTAGAGCCATTCTGAAAAATCTTCAGTAACTCAGGTGCTTCTGTTTTAATAACCAGGCACAAGCCTGGATTAGTTCCTCTATTTAATTCCTCTTGAATTAAAGCTACAGGAGTTTTGTTTTCTTTACTAAGTTTTTATGTCAATAGTTATTCAATGTAAGCTCTATATATGTGTAACATACTGAATAGAAGTAAAAAGGCATAATGTGCTTGAGATAAGAGCAAAGTAGTGGTAAAGAGAAATTTAAAAATAACTATACTGCAATGTAATAAATACCTGCTCTGTAAGTACATATAAAGTGATTGTCTATTAAGATCCAACAATTGAAAGCATTTTCTAAAATTGTACGGATTGTTTACTCTGCAGAGGGCAAATTCTCCAAACAAAGAAATTTAATTAAAATTTTCAATTATTCTTATCTACTTTTCTTGCTTTACAAATGTACTAGTATAAAATCCCATCTAAGAACATTATATTCCACTTTTTTATAGTACCTGAGTTTTATGAGATCACTAACTTAGGGGTGGAAAAATTCACTTACTTCTCTCATAATCTTAAATCCATTGTATTCTTAAAGTTTAATTCTGTCTTAAGGTTTTGCTAAGTTCTGATTTAAGTTCCTATTAAGATAGTATATTAGCAACATAATTTGATTATCATAATGATCAAAATGAATTGACAATTCATAGCTGTTACAAATTGAGAGTTATCATGTACCTGACCTTCTGTACATAATCTCATTTACCTCAAAGTTAAATACCATTTCAGTTTTATAAATGAAGTGGCCTTGGTACTTGAAAGCCTTTTAGTAAATTGTCCAAGGCTACACAGTTGCTTAGGGCAAAAGCCCAAATTTGAATCCTCTCATAGTAATTATCATCAGCTATTATTATAGACTAGTTTATTTAACATTTGTTCTTTTAGACAATTTACTTCTTTCCTACCTTTTAGAAAAGATTGATTTAGCACCTTAAAATTAAGTGGTTCACATAGTGCCTTGTATATAGTTATTTATAAATACTAGCTGAATTGAATTGATTTTTCTGAAATTCGAAATGAACTTTTGTTAAGTGTAATTAAATATGTAAATACATAAATCTAAACCATTATACATATTAAAAAAGAGGAATATGGGCGGCACCTGTGGCTCAGTGAATGGGGCACTGGCCCCAAGTACCAAGGGTGGTGGGTTCAAACTCGGCCCCGGGCAAACTGCAACAAAAAAAAAAAAAAATAGCCAGGCATTGTGGTGGGTGCCTGTAGTCCCAGCTACTTGGGAGGCTGAGGCAAGAGAATTGCTTAAACCCAAGGGTTGGAGGTTGCTATGAGCTGTGATGCCATGGCATTCTAACGAGGGCAACAAAGTAAGACTCTGTCTCTAAAATAAAAACAAAAAAAGAATATATGTATATATGAAGAATATATGTATATATACATGTATATATTCTTCTTTTTTTGAGACAGAATCTCATCTCACTGTCACCCAAGGTAGATTGCCATTGCTTCATAGCTCACAGCAACCTCAAACTCTTGGGCTCAAGCCATCCTCTTGCCTCAGCCTCCTGGGTAGCTGGGACTACAGGTGTGAGCCACCAGGCCCGGCTAGTTTTTTTTTCAGTAGAGACGAAGTCTCACTCTTGTTCAGGCTGGTCTCGAACCCTTGAGCTTAAGCAATTCACCTGCCTCAGCCTCCCAGAGTGCTAGGATTATGGGCGTGAGCCATTGCGCCCAGCACATGTATTTATTTTTAAAGGTTTGTCAAAATATACACCAAATATTATCCATTCTTTCCTCTGAGTAGTGTGATTACTGGTGATTCTCTTTTTTTTAGTTCTCTATATTATAATTTTTCTACAATGAACATGAATTTCTTGTACTTCTTTTAAAAAGTTTTAAAAAGAAAATAAAATTTACTTCTATGATTACATATCTAAATAAACTCTAAATATTATAATCACCTTACTGATGAATGTATATCATAACAAATATGATATGTGAATTTCTTAATTTTTTTTTTCATTTGAAATGGTTTGCCTATTCCTCCTTGGGCCCGACATTTGAAGTTTCAAATTTTGAGCTCAAATCACTGGCAAGATTTTTTTTCTTTTTGTGAGACAGAGTGTCATCATAGCTCACTACAACCTCAAACTCCTGGGATCAAGTAGTGCTTCTACCTTAGCCTCCCAAATAGCTGGGATTACAGGTGCCACCATGCACAGCTAATTTTTTTCTATTTTTGGTAGAGATGGGGTCTTGCTCTTGCTCGGGCTGCTTTCAAATTCCTGAGCTCAAGAGATCCTCCTGCCTTGGCTTCCCAGAGTGCTAGGATTACAGACATGAGCCACCACACCTAGCCAGCAAAATAAATTTGTTTTAATTTGGCCTTTAACAATACTATACATATGTTTTTCTCTCCAGTGTGATTATAAGTTTAGTAGATGTATTCTTCTAGAATAAAAAATTCATTCATTCAACAAGTATTTTTTGAGCTAGATCCTGATATTATAGGGTTATATAAGATATAACCATATTACTACTTTCTTCTGCAAGGGTAATAGACTCAAGTGCCTACAGCAGCTAGGCTGGTAATAAGTCAGTCAAGTGGACTAAATGTGCAGTAATAAGTGAAAATGGACACACAAGCTCATTGTTGGGGAGTCAGGGATGGGATAAGGCAGGGGAAGGGGATTATGGGAGACTGTAAGGAAGATGTTGCTGCTCATTTAGCTCCAACTGCTTGTTACCATGAAGGAACATGTGGCCAGTGTTACCAGATGTTCCACGTTTTTAAAGAGAAGCTAGAATATTAGGATTTTTACATAAAATCTCTTGGGTTTTAGATGTTGTTGACTAATTCAGCTTTAAAATCTGAGCAGGGCAGGAGGATTGCTTGAGCTCAGGAGTTTGAGACCAGCCTGAGTAAAAGCAAAACCTAGTCTCTCTAAAAAATAGAAAACTTAGCCAGGCACGTTGGTAGTGCCAGCTGCATGGGGGTGCTGAGACAGGAGGATCAGCTGAGCCCAGGAGTTTGAGGTTGTAGTGAGCTGTGACGATGCCACTGTACTCTAGCCCTAGCTATACAGAGTAAGACTGCTGTAAAAGAAAAGAAAAAAAAAGTAGTCTGCTGTCTATATTCAACTTAAAAATCAGATTTTGGAATTTGGGTTTGGAGGTTGACTATCAAAATGAAATAAAATTTAAACAATTTATTAGAGTGTCTGAACTTTTAAGAGTATGTGCAGCTAAGTTTAAAAGTGAAGGTAACCTTTGATCAAGACTCAAAAGTTGGACCCCAAATAGAAACAGAAAGCAGCAATCAAATTGGGTTAGGAACTCAGAAACTACATTAAGGAAAAAAATAATAATAAGGTAAAGAACTAGGCACAGAAAAGACTACCCAAATATCTTAAATATTCACTGTGCTAGGCCCAAATTCATCCCCAACTGATGTAGCCCACAGGTTAACCTGTGCTCATGCCACCAATTTGTTCTCTTGATCACTGATATAATGAAACTTTTATTATGTCTCCGCAAATATGAACTTTCCACAGGGGAAAGGCCTAAAGATAGGTCTTACATTGTTTACCTAAAGATAGGTCTTACATTGTTTAATCAGAAGAAAATCGTTTGGAAAATAATCTGCTGGTGGGGATTCCCACCCCATTTAACATATTGATTGACTCCCAGTATGTGATAGATGTTGTGGCATATAGGCTGAATTACAGAGACAAATTAGGCTTTAATTCCCTCAGCTTATAGCCACACACCTTTTCTTTTCTTTTCTTTTTTTTTTTTTTTTTT